CCCATGCTTCCCATGAGGTTATCTCGGTTGATAGACGCGGCAAGGAAAAACGCAAGATGGCAATGGATGCGGAAGAACCTAGGAGATAAGAAGAGTAAAAAAGATCTGGGACGCTAATATAAAGTTTTTGAGTTAAAAGCGTTTCTTTAAAATGGCCGCCCATGCGTTTTCCCATAACTTTTTTTTTCGAAGTGGGATTTCTCGAAAACTACTGAACCGATCGGGTTAAAAGTTTCACCCAAATAAGATCGTATCCTTGGCTATGGATTGCAGCCCTTAGTTTGGGGAAAATCGATCTCAGGAAGATTTTAGATATGACCTCCAGGTTTACTTTTTTCAGGGGCCCGGAAAATCCAGCGTTGGGTTAACTGGGAAAAGGGCCTGGAGGTTGTCAAAATAATAAGATGTCGTTGTGAACTTTTGATATGTTATAGAGACTCTGAATGCCGACATTTTGACGTACAATACAAAAATATTTTCGATAGGGCGATTTTGTCGAAACCCAAAAACCGCATTTTTTGCTCAAAATTAGCATATAAAGTGCCTGGAGGTTGTCAAAATAAGAAGTAATCGTTCTGAATTTTTTATATGTTGTAACGATCGTTAATGCCGACATCTTGGTGTACAACAAAAAAATATTTTCCTTAAACGGAATTTTTGGAAATCCAAAAATTGCACTTTTCGGCCAAAATCAGTCGATAATGGGCCTGGAGGTTGTCAAAATAATAAGATACGGTTTTAAATTTTTGACATGTGATAGAGACGCTTTATGCCAACATTTTGATCTACTACACAAAAATATTTTTGATTAGATAGATTTTCAGGGAGGAGAAAACGGTGAATTTTAGCCGCAATAGACATAATTTGGCTCGGGGTTGGCTTAATCGATACAAACAGCGGGCGGTATTAACCTGCGGACCCCTAGGTGCCCAGAATAGGTTAAGGCTTCTTCGGGACTGATATCCACGACATCCTCGCTCGGGTCTGAGTTGTCATCATCGCCTCGGAACGGCTCGACGCCTGTAATTGAGGAATTTTCCGGCACCATTTGTCATTGGGACCTACCTAGAATCGGATCGAACCCTTCTTCTTTCCCGGATGTTGCTCCCTTGCTAACGCCGCCATTGCACACCCAGTCCTCCTTTACATTCTCCTTCTAATGCCAGGAATTGGCAATGATCTTGCGCATCCGGATAGTTATCGAAATGCATGCTCGCGATCAATCCCGTAAATCTTGGTGCGCATCTCGGTAAGGGTTGCAGTCGCAGGCTCGCGGTGTCCTATCTCACCTCGATTTCCGATTCTTATAAAATCCAGTCTTTGTCTACATTATCTCGCTTACCGGCAGGCTGTTTCACCGGATCGACCCGGTATGACCAAGAAATCCATGAGAATATCCATAAAGCAATATATGTCAGCATTTTCGCCAATGCCTCGGCCTTGTCTGCTTTCGTCTCTTCCCTCACCGCTCTGCCTTTTAGCCTGGTTAGATGCTACCGTCTCCAGTTTCTAGCTGCCAACCATTCATTTGACACAAAACAAACGTAAAAACACTTTATCCATCAATCACACATTTAAAAAAATCAAATTTTTTTTGGCCGCTTCGCGGCCAACCTGGAGGTGGTCATGGGAATCCTGGCCCACTCGATCGAACCCTGGCCATGACATCTGCATGAAAAATAGCCCAACCCTTCTCAACGAAAAACCCCCGAAAACTGTTTTGTGTACGCCAAATGTGTTCAGGTGGCTCGCAAATGGCCTTTTAAACTGTGTCTTTCTGAGTTTTTGTTGCCTGCAGCGCCCACAAAGTTGATTTATTCTGGCATTGGTTGAAGACGTGTGCGCGTGTGTGGACTATCATCGGATGAGGGAACCATCAGTGGGTTGTCCGAGTGTCCTCGGGTTTGTCGGGCTGCCCTGGAAACATTTTTCGTTTTATTTGTTTTTTGGATGAGGTTCGAATTACCGATTCTTGAGTATTCCCGGGGGGGAAGAATTCTGCGGGGGTGGGGGGTGGGGGAACCCACTTTTTTCTGTTGGCCCTAGTGGGCATAGTCAAATATAAAGTGTTTTCACGTTGTTTTTAGCAAAATTGGCACTATTCAAGTTCGAGGGGGCGAAATTTTTTTGGGTCATTTTCGGTCATTCTTCTTAGTTTTTCTTAGCAGTTAGCTTAGTATTGGCTTAGTTTAGGCTCAGGCTTAGCTTCTGGGCGGGGCTAATTACTCTCGCCTTAGCTTAGCTTTTCTTAGCTTCGCTATGCTTAGGAATAGCTATAAACAATTTAGAAACACTTCCACTATTTATATAAAAAATCTACGCTTGAGCCGAAAAAATTTCGGTTTCCCCTCGCGAATTCTCCCCCCCACCCCCGGAATACTCAAGAACCGAATATAGCTATTTTATGCTAATTTTTCCTGGGCCTTCCTGATCCCTTTAAGGCAAGCACCCACCTGGTCCTCCGGGTTGGTTGGGTTGTTCTGCAGCCTCGCCCTCTGGCGGGTTTCCCTGGTCCGGTTGGGGCATTTTTTTGCTAAATCAATTTATCAATCAAAGATATTGCGGGAAAAGGAAAAATTATATGAAACCAAAGTTTAAGATCGAAGATCGATATTAAATTTAATGATAAGTGGTGCTCCTCGAAGCTTCTGGCCTGCCGTTTTTATATTGGGCCGGTCGTTGGCCGCGGGCGGACCCGAAAAGCTCTCTAAGTGGCTGATCTTCAACAAATTCTCGACCTTCCGGTGAATTCCTGACTGTTTTTTTCACTTCGGCCGCCCATCGCCAATGCGTCCGAAAAACTGAAACTGGAAATACTGCAATGCATAATTAAGAAAGCAAATTACATTTTTACTAGAAAACCATCTCAAAAATTTAAAAAGGTAGAATTTTGGCCAAAAATCGGGAATTTTCGCCGGAAAAATTTACATTTTTGATATTATTTGACACGCATTTGTAAAGTTTTCACGTTAGAAATAGTAAGAAATCACTTAAAAACAGTTCCACTAGAAATACACTAGAACATATTTTGAAAAATTGGGTTAGTGAAAAAAGTTAGTTCCCAAAAAAATAGACGCAGGCACGTTGAAATCAAACATTTTCTAAACGGTTTGGTAGGTTTTGGTGGACTCTACTTCATGGCGCTGCACGCGATTTTGGTTCTGGACGGTTAGCGGGGGGAACAATTATCATTTTTCGACCTATAATCTGTTGATGATATGTTATGTATTTTTATAGTGTTTTTAGTTTTTGATTGCCAGAAAATTACAAAAATATTGTAAAAAAAGTTTTGACCTTTTGTGGCCATTTTTCATATAATTTTTGACCAAAAAGTCAACATTTTTCGCAACCTTTGGTTTTTCTTTTATATCTCAAAAAAAAACTAGGTAAAAGGCTCGAAAATGCCCCCCCCCCGCTAACAGTTCAGTTCGGTAGGCCCTGCCTCGTGGCCAGAGACACAATTTTTAGCTAAATATTTTTATAGCTCAAAGCCCCAAAAAGCTGCTTTGTGCGCAAGTTAATTCTCGTCCAGGCGCCGAAAAATCGCGGGTTTGGTTGAGAAAACGCCGCATACCCGCGATCTAGCCGTCCAGGGACCAGACTTCTTGGCCCCTTTAAGGGGCTTAATTCGCTCTAAGCTTTACATTGTATTTAAAAATACAAAAAAAAATATCGATTTGCAGGGCAAAAACTTCAAGGTTATGCAAATAATTTCGTTTAACTCGTTCTTCCTGGCAGGTAGCCAGCTTCAGTTTTTATTCAAAACTTCATTTTAGATGGAAAATTTGATTTTTATCGGCCCACACTGGCCAAATTTCGACGTTTTTAAGGTTTTTCTGATTTTAATATAGTTAAAACTTACTAAAAACAATGTAAAGACACTTTATATTTTATTGCTAGGCGAAAAATTGGGGAAAAAGTTCCGGGGTGTAAATTGGCCCACCCGTGAATTGAAAAGAACCATTTAATCACACGTCTCTTAATTCAGCCCGGGCCCGCTAAGGTCTTTTGGTTTCAGGTACTCCCCCCCCCCCTCCATATTACTCTTTTCTTTCCGGATCTAAAAATCTCCACATCATTTCGTGATGTTGGAAATCGATGAATCGCGTGCCCCGGAGGGCATTACAACACGGCACCCCCGCCATCCGATGTCCCGAAAAACCTTTTATTATTTCCAGGCATTTCGAGAATATTTCGAGCGAGAGAGCGAGAGAAAAAGAGGGAGAGAGAGAGAGAGAGAGATACTGACATATACTTAGAAGGAATCAAAGCAGCTCATTAGACAAAAAATTGAGTTTGTGCCGACAGGTCGGCAGCGATAGGAAGGTGGCGAGGAACCCTGAAAAATTGAAAAACTAGGAAAATTGCTTTTCCCGTAGGCTCTCATACGGCAGAAACGCCGGATGATCTTCGCATCCTACTGTCTTACGGTTTCAGGGGATCGCGGCACGCAGGTCATTTAGCCCATTTTTTGGCTCAGATATTTTGGAAAGCCGTGAGGATTTTGGCTTATCCAATGATTTTTTTTATCGAAGACTGTATGTGAAAATGTAATGCGATACATAGCAACTCCTCTAGACTCATTTCCGGGATTTTGCACTCATTTAAAAAGCCTTGAAAACCGCCTTCTCTGAAGGGTCATTTACGTGCGATTTTCGAATTATTAGAGCTCGCTAGGCTTGAATTTTCCGCGTAATCTGGGTTATTCACCATGACGGGCATCCTTTAAACTATTTGGTAGCAGAAAACCGCCTCATTTCGAGGCACCGTTAAAATGCTATTGGTCCAAATGCCTGACTCCGAGCAACGTGCCGCGCAGCCTCATAAACACTATTTTTTTTTTTTATATATAGTCGGATTTCGAATCCCTTTATAAAGCGTTAAACACACTTGGAAAGCGCGAAAGAGCCTGAGTAGACAAAAAAAAATAGAGTTTATTGCGATAAAGATGAGCCAGCGTAAAAAAAATTATGGACATTCCTTGGCATCTCCCCGTATCACATGTCGAAGACAACCGCCAAGAAGTTGGCATGCTTCATTCTGACGTCATTCTGGTATTTTGCATATTTTGCAAAGAAATTGGTCGGCGACGAAAGGAAGGCGGCGAGGAACGCTGAAAAATCGATTGCGATTAAAATTAGACCAGGAAACTTGCTTTTCCCGCAGGCTTTCATACGGTAGAAACGCCGGCTGATCCCCGCATCCTCCATCTGCCCCATCGACAGCCGTTCCAGTAGCCATGATTTTATCGTTTCCTCATCCGTTTCCGCCTCCTCCAACAATTCCATGCGACCATCATGAACACGTCCGAGGCGACGCTCGAATTCGCGCTGAAAAATGCTTGCTTCTTGTCTAAAAAATGCCGTTTCCCCCGCTATATCCGCCACAGTCCAGTACCTGCTTTGAAACTTCTTTCAGTGTCACAGTACGAGAGTCCCTTACCAAAAATAGCGTCAAATCGAAGTCTTCGGCGCCATTTTTCCCAGATACCCGCAGCATCTGTCCCTTCAATGGTTTCCGCATCGGGCAAAAGGCCACCTGCAATATTTTTATCTGGTTTTGTAAACTTGTATTACATAGAAAAATAGCGACAACTTACATCGATTAGATTGGCGACAGCAGAGACACTAAAGTCGTCAATCCACGGGAATCCGATTTCTGGCAATTGTCCCGGTGAAGTGTTCGCTTGACACCAATTTGCCCACATCTCTTCGCACACAACACAATTCCACGGCGCCGCCTTTCCGTAGCGCTAGAGAAATTTTATATGGTTTACCATTACATAAATGCCATATTCCGGCTAATCTAAGCACTCCAGAATTCTCTTGTTAAAATTACATCATCACGTGAGATGCGTGTGACACGTGCGCGTTGCGTGTCGCGGGTGCGGTCAAACTCAGATAAGATCCAGGGTTCGAAAAATGCACAGTCATGCCTTGCCAATCCCTTTAATTTACTACTTACATTCACGCATTGCTGGCAACGGAGGCGATCCTCGCGAGGACCCTGAACAAGATTCTTGTTTTCAAAAGACTAGGAAGCGCATGCAGGGACTTCATCAGTGATCCGGGTCCCGAATGGGAACGGATCATTACACCAAAATTTATATAAAATCTTAATATCCTTTATAAAATCACTTACGTAGACGATTGGTCGAGAACCATTAATTTCTTCATACTAAATCATTTCCTTATATTCAAAGCCTCAAAGATTATACGCACCGGGCGAAGCTCCAGCTCGTCTATTCCGTATCGGCAATTCGCCAGGATCCTCCGAAGTAGCTCGAAATTCGATATGTTCTTCCCCAATTGAACATAAAGTGTTGCGATTGCCGAAAACCACCGCAAACACGGGCTGATCTAAAAAAGTTGAATTTTGAGCAATTTTCGCAAGCAAGCTCTAAAAACCCACGTCGTGCGCCAAGATGATTTGATCCAAGCGCGGGTCCCCCGGCAACGGCACGTCTCGGAACGCCTAAAGTATGGTGTAAAAGGCCATCCGCGAGTCACCCGAACATTCCCCAGTATCGCTTGTCACAGTTTTTCGACCCCGTTTTTTCGATGCCATGTGAAAGAGCATTTTGGTGCCTTTGAAATTAGTTTTTCGATTTACCCAAAAATCCCGAGTATAGTTCCGGTACACTTTGGCGACGGACCAATACAGATGACGTTCTAATAAGGTGCGCTTTCGCTCTGACGGCGCAGCAGCCATCTGGGCCAAAAGGAGCGGTTCTGAGCAGTTCCTGCATGAATTTATTTCATTAAACCACTCAAAATGCTCGAAATAGTCGAAATATGAGCAAATATACAACCGAGATTGCAAAAATACCTTTCACGAACGGAGTTATTTGCAAGAAACCGAGAAACGAAACACTTATTTACGGTCATACGGAATTACGAACATACGTTTGACCCGGAACTATACTCGGATGGGAACTATACTCGGGATTTTAGGGTAATAAGAATCTGCCGCCAAGTTGAAAAACACATAATTCGATGTAGAATTTAATTGCGCATCTTTTAAGTGTATTTCTAGAGTGTCGACCACTTCCTATTAAATAGTAATTCTTGAAAAACACATTTGAGTACGCGAGATTTCGATGTTCTGGCCATTTTCATGCTTTGAAATGTATTAGAAAAATGATCCCCGCCCAAAATTAGATAGATATTGTCACAAATTTGCAGCGAATTTGTTAAGAGAGTTTTCGAGATAGTTTTCGAGGTAGTCTACTTTAACGGCAATTTAAACCCCAAAAATGAAGCTTTTAAACATGCAAAACTATGCAGCCCTAATTTGAATACTAATTTGAACTTGCTCTACCAGATGGCATCAAAAAAAAGCTGTGACAAGCCGAGTTCGGCTCTCTGGCAAACGGCCTTTTAAAAGGCCGGCTTGCGAGTCACCCGAAGTATTATGAACTTTTACGCCCCTGTCTTTTCGACGGCATCTTAAGAGCAGTGTCCGAGTTTGCAGCGAGGTTTTCAAAATATAGTAAGTTTATCTTGAAGACTTGCGAGAACACCTACAGTGGCGGATCAAGTATTCGGATTTTTTTCCGGCTGCGTCCCTGATTATGCACACACTTTAGTAGATAAATGGTCTCCATCCCAAATTACAGTAGCGGGCAAAAGTATTCAGATTTTTTGTTTCGGACGTTATCTCGCTGTTTAAAGCACCTCGCAGCCCCAGAAATGGCTCCTGGGTAAAACATCAATAACATCAAAAGATGCGCCAAATTATTCCAAACGAAATGGTGTGCTTTGCGGATGCCGCTGATTTTCCGTCCATGAGGCTGTGATGTTATGACATTAAAAAGGCACCTGCTCGATACGGTGGTCGAATATCACTGACGCATGATTTCCAATCATCACGCGTGATCTTGACACCAATTTGAGGAAGTCGTTGTAGGTGCAGGGGAAATATCTGAGTTTATTTACCAGTTCCGGTCGCATTAAAAATGTGAATTGGCATAAAAAACTACCTTGCCGTTTCAGTAGGGTGCTGTAGCATGATGCATGATACAGGATGCAGGGGAGAAACAGGTGCCGATAGATTTTTGTGCACGAATTCCCATCCTTCCCTATCACGGGCCGTAAAAACCCAAGTGTGCACCCAGAGCTGTAGAGAGTAAGATACTGGGTGTCCCAAAAAAGTCTCCCCTCTAGCGGTGCGGAGGAAGCTCAAATCGGGATCATTTTTACATCATTCGAAAGGGGGAAGAATTCGCGGGGGGAAACCAACTTTTTTCCTGTCGGCCCTGGCGGGGATGGTAATCAAATATAAAGTGTTTTCACATTATTTTTAACAAAATTTAAGCCTATTTGAATCGGACAAACTTTTTAAAAAGTTAGAAAAACTCTTGAAAAAGTTGAAAAAGTTTTGGGCCGAAAAAATTTATTTTTCTACCTGAAACCAGGGTTGAAAAGTCGCGAAGCGGCCCTGGCCGCCCTGGCCCCGTCTAACACAACAATATTCTACACTCTGCATACGACTCTAACATCCCGATAAAAAAATGAAAAATGCCACACTCTACCTGATTATATAGGCTACCGCCACTTACCGCGTCTGCTAATTGTTTCCTAACAAAGAGGGGGCCCGAAATTTTTACAAAATCTGAAATTTTATGTTAAAAACAATTAATTTTGTGAAATCGAATAAGCGTGCAGTCATCCCAGAGCCAATACGCACCTAATCCCACTGTGTCCCCCACTGTGCGCCGCTATTGCGGGCTCCTTTTTTGGGCAGCCCGGTATTTGTTGAAAACGCCTATCGAGGGCCATCGGCTTTCAGGATCTATTAAAACACCGTCTTACCTTATCATCATCAGTGCTCACGAACCCGGGCTTTGGGGTCAGACAATCGAGTATCAGTTTTTGAGTCTTTTGCGGAAACAGGCCTCGTTGATTGATGACGCTTCTGAATTTATCGTGGAACAGGAGGAGGCAGCCAGCCAACTTTTTTTGGTCACAGCGTTTAGGTCGTTCAGGTAGGTCGTTCAGGTCGTTTTATCGTCCTTTTGGCGGATGCCCAAATACAAAAAAAAAACAGGAAATCAGGAAAACGGGGAAAACTTGGCGGCGGCTTATATGGGTGCCCGCGGAAATTTCTGCCACAGAAGCTACATGTTCATTTGGCCGTAGCCAATTACACAGTCGACAAAATGGCATGTCCCTAGTGAGACGAAGGCCAGGGCTGCAACGCCGCGAAGCGGTTTTTTTACGGTTTTGGTGATTTTTTAATTTGGGTCTTTTTTCCACCATAAGCAATTCGGATTTGCAAGTGTTACCTGATCGTCTTGTTAACGCGTTGTAGGCTAAGCAATTCGCAGAAACCGAGTTGATTGATGACGGCCGAGAGGAGCGCATCTGGGAGATGACCAGCCGGGAACATCACTCCGTTCTGTATGGACAAGGTCGTTCCTTTGATATAATGGAATAAAGAAACGGAATTCCGAGAAGGCATTAAGGTACCGCACAGTTTGAAAAAGGGGATGGGATGGGGGAGCGATGTACTCTAGAAAGACAGATGTGCCGCCAACGACCTCGCAGCATCGATGGATGCACATTAATGGGATGGCAAACTCGGATTCGAAACGCGTCTTATTAAAAGTCCTTAGAGTTTATTAAAAAGTGGCGAAAGTCCATTTCTGAAAAACTCATTTCTCATCATTCAAATTTTTTTCAGTTGCATTTCATAAAGCATGTAGCTAGCCCAAGGTTTAAGCCATTGGCGGCACATCTGTCTTTCTAGAATACATCCCTCCCCATCCCGTCCCCTGTCTCAAACTGCGCGGTACCTTAATTCCTTTTCGGAAGTCCGTTTCTGATTCCATTATATCAAAGGAACGCCATTGTCCATACAGAACGGAGTGATGTTCCCGGTTGACCATCTCCCAGATGCGCTCCTCTCGGCCGTCATCAATCAACTGGGCTTCTGCGACTTGATCAATTTGCAACGCGTCAACAAGCCGATCAGGTAACACTTTCAAAACCGAGTTGCTTATAATGGAAAACGGCCAAAATTGAAAAATCAGCAATCAGGCGTAAAAAAATGCTTAGCGGCATTTCAGCCTGGTCGTCGCCTAGCTAGGGAGGTGCCAGTCCTCAATTGTTTAATCGGCTTCGGCTAAAAGGATACGGTTTTGAATCCTCCTGCAAGATAGGTTCAGAGGCGTCATCAATCAACGAGGCCTTTTCCCGCGGAAAATTGATAGGCTGATGCTCAATTGCCTGACCCCAAAGCCTGGGTTCGTGGGCAGTGATGATCTTAAGGTAAGAAAGTTTTTTATTACAGGGTGCCTAAAAATTAAACCCCCTCTAGGGGTCCGGCCCGGAGGAGTTGTACCGATTTTGACGATTTAGGTAGCTGCCAGGGTAACCCTGGCCCCGTCTAGGACCTGTGAAAATCTTCAATTTACATTCTTCTCCCCGAATTGTAAAAAATTACAGCTCTGGGTGCACACATGGGCATTTTTGGCCCGTGATATGGAAGGATGGGAATTCGTGCACAAAAATGCATCGCCACTTGCTTGTCCCCTGCATCCTGTACCCTGCATCATGCTACAGCACCCTACCGAAACGGCAAGGTATTTTTTGGCGTAGATTCACATCTTTAACGCGACCGATTCTCGCTGGGGAAAATCAGGTAAGCCAGGACTCGAAATTTCCTTAAATTTGTTTTTGGGTTCTTTCGCATTACCGGGAAGGGGATTACCGGCAAATTGAAAAATGCTGGGCCGGGCCGGTACAACAGAAACGAAAATTTTTTGTATTTCTACAATGAATATTTTCGATATTTCGCTTTGCGATTTTCGATCTGAGATTCCTCCCTTCACCTCCGAGCAACCTTCCCTTGCCAGATATTTTCCTTGCTCCGACGACGGCTTCCTCAAATTGGTGTCAAGATCACGCGTAATGGTTGGACATCATGCGTTAGTGACGTTCGACCATCGTCCCGAACAGGTGCCTTTTTTATAGGAAAAGTTGATTCGGAAATGTAAATCAAACTGAAAGAATCCTAAAGGGAAAATCTGGTGATTAGGTCCCGCGCGGCGAATGAAGTAATTGTCGGGCATACGTCTATCTCTGAAACATTTTTCTTCTGAACGCTTTTCTGAATTAAAAGTAGAAAAGAATGAAAAGCATTGGACGGAGTTTCGATTCAGCCTAATATTAGAGAAATGGTCCCTATCCCAAATTAGGTATTCACGCAAATTTTCGACCTATTTAGGTGAGTAGTTGTCCGGATAGTTCTTCGAGGTCGGCAACTGTAGCACCCATCTAAAGCCCCAAAATAAAACTTTCTAAATTCTCAAAAACACACAGCCCTGCAAATGCGGCCATACTCTCGAGATGTCGACGAAACGGCAGGGTCGAAAAAACTTCCTAATACTTCGGGCAGGCCCGCAAGCCGGCCTTTTAAATCGTACTTTAGGTGTTCGAAAACGCGCCGTTGCCGGGGGACCCACGCCTTCCTCAAATCAGCGGGACACACGACGTGGGTTTCTAGGCCTTCGCTAGCGAAAATTGCTCGAAACTGAAACTTTTTTTAGATCACCCCGTGTTTGCGGTGGGCTTCAGCAATCGCAACGCTTTACCTTGAATTGGGGAAAAACATATCGAATTTCGAGCTACTTCGGAGGATCCTCGCGAATTGCCGATATGGAATGGAAGAGCTTGAGCTTCGCCCGGTGCGTATAATCTGGATGCTTT